ATTTTGTCCAGGCTGGTCTCAAATTCTTGGCCTCAAGTGATTCTCCTGCCTCAGCCTCCCAAAGTGCTGGCTGGGATTACAGGCATAAGCCACTGCACCCAGTCAATACAATTTTATTTTTAATAAACCCCCAGAGGTCCTTCTGAATTCTGTCACTTTGTACTTCTTTATACACTTTGTACATCTTGCTACTTCTTTGCACACAGAGTCTTGTTGATTCACTCATTCAACAAGTGTTGACTGAATGCAGGCACTTTATATAGACTGTATTCAATGCTATATGCACATGACATGAAACAGGGTCTGCACTCAATGAACAAATAAATCATTGTGTAACGTGTCAGATGGAGAGAAATAAAGCAGGATAAGGAGGCTGTGAAGGCTGGGTACACCAGGGGTTCCTGTTTTATGTAGGATGATTAGGAGAAACCTCACAGGCAAGGTGGCATTGGAGCAGAGATTTGAAGGAGGTGAGGGAGTGAGCTGTACAGATATGTGGACAGAGAGTTTTCTAGGCAGAAGGAACAGCAAGTGCAGTCTCTGAGGTGCAAGTGTGCCTGCTCAAAGAACAGAAGAAGGCAGGTGGTCCAGCAGAGCAGGGCGGGGTGCGTGGGAGGAGATTCAGTTAGGGGCACCTGGGTCAGAAAGGTAAGGTCTTGGAGACACCATTAAAATCACTTTGACTCAGTGAGATGGGAAGCCACTGGAGGGTTCTGAGCAGAGAGCCATCACCTCTTGGTTATATTTTGAAAGGATTACTCTTGCTGCTGTACTGTATGCCACTGGGATCTGAACACTAAACATTGCTAAGAAACCCACCCACCACCAGAGTATTTGGAAGTAATTTCACATATGGAAAAGTAAGAGTAGTACAAACAATACTCAGACCCTGTTGTGAATATTTTGTCCCATTTGCATTATCATTGTATCCACATATGTGTATATGTACATTTCTCTTTATGAATCATTTTAGAGTAACTTGACTATACCATGACCCTTATCCCTATAAACTTGAGTGTGTATCTCATGAGAATAAGGATAATCTCTTACATAACCACAGGACACTTACGAGAAAATAAACTTAACATTGATGCAATACTTTTATTTGATCTACCATCTGGTTTCCAGTTTTGTCAATTGACCCAGTAAGGTCCTTTATGGCATTTTTTTCCCCTTCTCTATGGGATCTAATCTAGGATCACGTATTACATTTAGTTTTCTGTCTCTTTAGCCTCCTTTATTCTGGAACATTTCCATAGCCTTTCTTTGCGTTTTGTGACATTGACATATTTTAAATAATATTGCTCCTTTTAAGAATTAAAATGGTTCTCATTTGGGGTTTATTTTTCATCAGGATCATATTAAACTTACGGATTCCTAGAGTAATGTTACGTAAGTGGTCTGTGTCCTCTTTAGAGTCACAAGGAGGCATGAAATATCTATCTGACTCCCAGCAGTAATGTTAATTTTAGTCACTGAGTCAAGATGTTAATCCTTTTTCCCTTGCTACTAATAAGCAGCCTGTGAGGAGACCTTTTAAGACCATATTCCTCATCCAAATTTACCTCCTAGATTTAGCTTGTGTTGGTGATTCTTG